GAGAAAAGAAGACTGGGAGGGGATCTGATCCAGGTCTATAAATATCTAAGGTGTGGAGGGCAGAATGGTGAGGCCGGACTCTTTTCAGTGGTGAGTGGAGACAGGACAAGGGGAAACGGCCAGAAACTGCAGCATAGGAAGTTCTGCACAAATATGCACAAGAACTTCTTTGTGGTGAGGGTGACGGAGCACTGGAACAGGCTGCCCAGGGAGGTGGTGGAGTCTCCTTCTCTGGAGATGTTCAAGACCTGCCTGGATGCCTACCTGTGCGACCTGCTGTAGGGAACCTGCTTTGGCAGGGGGGTTGGACTCGATGATCTCTGGAGGACCCTTCCAACCCTTACAATTCTGTGATTCTGTGACAATGGATTTTGTTAAAGTGGAAATATTACTAATGAAATTCCTCTAGGATCAGGCTTGCATCTGATCCCATGTAGAATTTTTGGTAATCATCATGGCAGAAATAAATTGATCTTGAGCACAGGGAAAATTTGATAGGATGAGATGTAATGGACTTAAGTTGTGCCAGGGGAGGTTCAGGTTGAACATTAAGAAAAATTTCTTCTCGGAAAGAGTGGTGAAGAACTGGAACAAGCTGCCTGGGGAGAGGTTGGAGTCACTATCCCTGGAGGTGTTCAAGAAAAGAATAGAAGTGTGACTGAGGGACATGGTTTAGTGATGGGTTTGTGGCTGGCCTAGATGATCTTAGTGATCTTTTCCAAAGTTAATTATTCTATGGTTCTCAAAGTACACTTTTGTGAGGCATGTGCGAGAATTTTTCTCACCCACTGGTGAGATAGTTACAGGGGTAGTTACAGGCCCCTAAACCAAGAGGTTAGTGATGATAGTGGGGAGAAAAATTCATCTCCAGAGGACAGCTCATAGAGTGTAGGTGAGCTTCCAGCTCCGACTAGTGCCTCCCTCTTTTAACCACAGAGAGAGGGGGGGGGGCAAGATGGCTCACTTCCTGTGGTAGGAAAGAATGACGGCTTTTTATATATGGTTGAAAACCCTGTATTCAGGTTTGCTCTAGTTGCTGTTCACAATATTAAAACAGGTCTTGAGCATTGGCTGTGCAACCTACCAGTCCCCTGCAGTGACTCTACTTGAGTTCATAGATAATTTAAATGTACATGAAAGGAGTAGACTAGACACAATATATTTCAAGTAGTTTGCTTTTTAAGTCTTTCAAATCTGCTTTTGCAGTTAGTTTTCTTTTGTTCCTTGTACACACTTGTAGGACAATACCTGATTCTCAGTCTCTCTGCTATTCACCTAGTGCTTCACAGAGGGCCGTATACCTGCTTATACACTAACTCTCCCCCTCACAAATCAGCATAATTCAATTACAGCAGAGAAATTGCTCTCAGCCTCAGACTTACTTTAAAGTTTGATGTTAATGTTTCAGAACTTATCTTGTTTTAAAAAAAATCAAAAAACAACTCATTCTCTCTACCCTGGATAACTGTTGAGAATCCTGCTGAAAACCAATAGTAACATACTTGTTACTATTCAATGTTACAAAAGGCATTGAAGATTAACAAATAATAGTCAATATATTTATTGTCTGTTTTTATTTTTGTATGCCTACTTTCCCAGCTTTTGTCTGCTTGTTTCTATTCCCTATATCATAATTTGTCACCTCCAGGATTTGCTTTCTATTTTCCATTCGTTTGGAGGAATGACTGTTTGGATTTGGTTTCTTTCTGCCTAAGTCATTTCTGTGAACTGGTTTACGCTTTGAGCCACATGGGACATTATGATGGAGATTACAAACTGTACCTCTATTCAGGAAAGGAGAAAAGAGCTGTGGGTTTTCTGAGCATTCTACATTTTAACACATGATAGTGTTTAACACATGAAGTGACATGAATCTTCTATCTGCTTCCTTGTAGTCAGACTTGACAATGCAATCAGACAGTACTATTTGAAATGTATAATTGATCTCATTGATCCTGTACAAAACTTTTGTAAGATATCCCAATATTCCAATTTCTTTTCCTGAAAGAAGTTGGTTCAAGCTACTAGTCCAGGTTTAGACACAAAATACCAATGTGGCTATTATACTAAGCACGTGATGCTAAGTATGTATAAAAAGTAGCATTGTGCATAGTTTTTCTGATATGAATTTGGAGAAGGGAGGGCAAGGATATCAGAATCAATAGAAAATGGTTTACAGTATGAGGCAAATATAGTAATTTTTAGACTATAGAATGTGGGCTAAGAGCTAGTGAATGTTCCTTGTAAATATCCTATATTTTTAACAACAAAGAATGGTAGGAGATACTTAGCTTAAAAAATAAAAAAAAAAGTAAAAGAAAAATAGTGTTGTAATGACAAAAGAATTCATGCCGTAAGACTGTGGAGTGTGGATTAGACTTCCAACCAAAGTAATGAAGGTAAGAAACTTAATGAATTCTGATCCAAATATTGATTAGTTGATGAAAAGCATGATTTTGTTGCTGTTATGATATACTTGCTCTTGCTTGCTTTGTTAGGATGTGTTCTGACTTGCTGTCTCCAGTGTATGCAAGTTCTGTTTTCCTAAATTATCATTGTTTAGTCTGAATTTTTTTTCTGTTTAACTTATCTGATGTGAAGTAATTACAAAAGAACTCATTCCTTCATTTGACTGCTTAATCTTAAACTTTAAACCTGATCCTGCAAGAATTGTATGAACTTAATTTAAAACACTGCAGGCATCTATAATGATTTCAGTAGCACAAACTTAGCATATTGTGAATTACATGTGGGTTACAAGGAAATGAGCCATCACCACCTATATTCAAATAAGATTTCAGAAGACTGTGTGCTGCTAGTTGATAGAATATTTTTTGGCTATTCAGTTTACAAAATAGCATACCCAGCAGCTGTCACTGAATTAGGGTCTTGAGCTAGTCTCAGTCTGAGTATAGTGATTTGGCAAGAATCACAAATGAGCAGCAGTCATTCGTTTGCTGTGTGTAATACGATTGGCAGAGTCTTTTGAGGGTTAACCCTGAAACACAAATCATTTGAGAAAGATTTTTAGAAAATACTTGAACAAGATAGTTCTTCAAAACAATAGCTACTGAAAGAGGCAATGTATAGATAAATTATGCATTCAACCTGAAAGATCTCACATCATATAGGAACATTTTGTCTCTTAGAACATCATGCAGAAAGAAAGACATCAGAAAATGGAGCAGTCAGAACAATCTGTATCTTCAAATCTAGTTTAGTTTCACTGCATTTCTATCCTAATTTTTTAAAACCAGATTAGAGTGTCTTGTAAGTCTCCCTGTTTACACCACTTTTGAGTTTTCTGTAGAGACAGTGAACAAGGTTGCTATGGTCTCCTGTAACTTAAATTCTCTTTTAGGAGTAGGTACTTTATCATCAAATTAATTTTGAAGAAAACTATTGTAAAAGTCAGCCAAAAACCACCTGAAAAAAGTCTGAAAACTTATTCTTGAGTTAAAAAGGTCCAAAATCCATTATCATGCTGCTGGCAGTAAGATACTGTTAGCACATACTTAGGCATATGCCTTTCTGAATTTGCAGATGTCAGTGATGTTTCAGAGGTTTGGGAAAGTAGAATGCATAAATAACAGCTATTGCTATGGTTGTTAACTTCTGGGTTTGGCAAGTCTTTTGCATTCTGATAGAGAACTTTCTTCCAGATGACAGCCAGAGGCAGTGAAAGAAAGATGGAATCTTAGGGAGATAGGACCCACACATATCCGTATGACAAATTGTAATGACAAGGTTGGGATTGGGATTTGTAAAGTGATATACTGAAATAAATAAAATTCATTTCCATATAGTGCATACAGGTCTACTGCTGTTTGAAATAATCATCTCTGCAAAGCATATTGTACTTTCTTTAGGTCAAGAAGCACACTCTTTTCCTGTGCCAAGGTGCTTATATATCTTATTCTCACAATCTAATATAATTCTGAGCTATAAAGATAGTTTGCTAAGGAATTCATAAGGGCATTATTACAGCTAAAATGGGCAGTCCAATAACTGAATTAATTTCATATTTGTGGGAAAGTACTGACATCAGAACTTCTCTTTCACAAAAATATTTTGAAATATACTATTTTGCATCATTATATTTTTGAGACAAATTCAATATGTGAAATAACATCATTGTGATTCTGTCACAAAAGACTCAGGTTTTTTTTCAACTTTTTTAAGGATACTGGTTACCCTTGCAGATAGCAATAGAAATTAACCTCAGAACAGCCAGCAGAAAGTACAGAGTATATTTTTTACATAACTGTGATCCTTCCTCATGCTTATAAATAGTAAATTACTGTCTTTTCTTTGCAAGCACTAGGAGGTTTATAAGCAAAGTAACCTACTGTTCTGGGGCCCAGTGAATATCATATTCTGTTAATCTCGAATGGGGAAGACAGAGCTGATTTTATAATTGTTTTGATTTTCACTGGTCACCAGCCTGTGTTGTTGACTGAGGAAACACATAGTGTTCACCAGAAAGTCTTGTTATCTATGAGCTTTTTTTTTTTTTTCCCCCATAGAAGCAGACTGAAACAGATGGGAGAGGGAATTCTCTCAATGAAACCAATTGTTATTCTCTCTTACTGTGAGATTCTTAAGCGCGAATGCACCATGTCACCCCTTGTATTACTGATGGATGCATTAGATTTACTTAGCAACTGCTCTCAATAAGCAAATCTATAGTTGAAAAAGATTGGTCAGTTCCTTTAAGTCACTGCAGAGGAATCTAGATCCTTGCATTATTTCTCCCTACTTCTGTTTTGCCTGCATTGAATCTCTACGTTAATCTTGTACAGATCTCTGGCTAATCTACCACACAGTGTTGAACTTTACTTTCAAATCTTGAACTCTTGTCTGTAACATCACCTGTTTCCTCTTTTGTGCCTGCATGTTCTTTTAAACTGCCTAACTCTGATGAATAAGATTGTTAGATTAGAATGTCCCCATTCTTTGTTGCAGCATCAGCTTTTTTTCATAGTTTCTTCTTTATCCAGGTTATCCTACTGGCTCTGTAATTGACTTTACTTAGAAGATGACCTCAGCCTTCTGGAAATTCTTGAATCTCTTCTGTGAATGGAGTGCTTCTGTACTTGGCACTGGTGAGACTATACCTTTAGTACTGTGTTCGGTTTTGGGTCCCTCACTCCAAGAAAGGCATTGAGGCCATGGAATGTCTTCAGAGAAGGTCAACAAAGCTGTTGGAGGGTCTTGAGTACAAGTCTGATGTGGAGTGGCTGAGGGTAACTAGCACTGTTTATTCTGGAGAAAAGGATGTTTGGGAGAGACCTTATAATTCTCTATAACTCCCTGAAAGAAGATTGTGGTGAGTGGAGATAGGCCTCTTTGCCCGTTTAATAGTGATAGGACAAGAGATAATGGATTTAAGTTGCACAAAGGAATGTACAGTTGAATATTAGGAACTTTTTTTTCTCAGGAAGAGTGGTACTGCATTGGAACAGGTTGTCCAAAGGAAAGATGGAGCCACCATCCCTGGAGGTTTTCAAGAAAAGAGTAGATGTGTTCCATAGTGGTGGCATTGTGGGCGTGGTGGTTCATTGTGGTGGCATTGTGGGCATGGTGGTTATGGGTCGATAGTTGGCTAGATGATGTTAGTAGTCTTTTCTGACCTTATTAATTTTATGATTATAGATACCTTCCTAAGCACATATGCTTTGAAATTATGAGCTAGTGAAAATGTGGTATAAAGTGAAGAGATTCCAAAGCAGATCTGGATAAAACTTGTCTGAGTATAGCTACTGTGTGGACTACTTATAATAGAAGATTGATAGGTGGTAATTATACACCATCCTTATCCTTCCAGAAACACTAGTTCTGTCTAATAAAAGATCATGTTAAGCACTTTTCTTTCCAGAACGGAATATTGGATCATACCTCTGTATGTACTGCTGTTTCTCTTTCAAATAATGCATGAATATAATGTAAACCTTTAAGTTTTAAGACAAGAAGGCAATAACATTTTGGAAATAATAAAACAGCAAACAAATTCCTTTTATTGAGCTTGAAACATTACTTCAAACAACGTGGAAAAATTTGCATTATGTTTAGTGAAAAGAATATGATAACAAGTCAAAAAATCAAAAGAAAATATATTGTGTGCAAAAAAAAGGAAAGATGTTACAGAATTCTATCAAAAAAGAAAAAAGTTGTGTGAAAAATCTGTAGAGGTACAGCTGCAATGCTGAAGACAAACAGATTTCTCATTTTGTACTTTTAGAAAGATAAAATCAATGACGGATACACTATTTTGAACTAAAATTATGGTTATGCCTCACTTCGAATGTAGTGTGAAATGTAGGTATAATGTGACTGTAAAAAGTGACTTTGAGTACATAGAATAGCACAAGAAACAAGATCAGATTGTAAGGATCTAGAGAGAAGAAAAGTTTGAAATAAAACTTTGTTCTCATTGAAAAATGAGAAAATTCCCTAGAATTAACTGAAATTTCCTATTTATTGCAGTAATGAATAAGTCTTAATGGCACTGCTGAAATGCAATTATACCAAAATACCTCAATATATTATTTGCTAAATTAGTGAAAGCAAACAAAAAGTAATAAAAATAACTTAAAGTAGATGATAGAACCCATCATGTTGTACCAAGGATAGCTGCTGAATGAACTGAAAATAGTGAGAATACAAAGGCAAAGTCTCTGGCAGTAAAGACAGCTTAAGAGGATTGTGCTTCTGAAGCAGGGAACAATAACCTACTGAGAAACTGGTCTGTAAAATAAAATGATTTCAGTTAAAAAATACATGTTTTCTACAAAACCTTATTTCAGTGATCCACTGGAGGAAGAAATCTGCAAACAAATAAGGGCAGTGGGTGCTAATGGACAGGGCAGTTGAGCAGTGTGCTAAAGCCAGTCTACATATTTCAGAAAGAAGCAGACGGATAAAGAGACTGGAAAGGTAGATAGTACTAAAAGAGAAATAGGAGTGAAATAAAATAAGATAATGAGCATCAGAAAACAATTGTCTTAGTGTTTATTAGGACTTAAATAATAGCTTTGATTTTAGATCTATAATTGCATTGATTTTAGGTGATTCCCACCGTCATTACAAATGAGTTTCTTAAAATCCATAAATTCATTCAATTTCACAGCATCACTTTATAGGGAATGTTGTCCAAAAAATGGGAGAATGTTTCTTATAGTCACATAGGTCATGCGAGTCAAAGCAGGAAGAGAAAATCAATATAATCTTCAAAACAGTGTATAGTCTGCTCACAGTTAATCTGTCTCTAGAATATATTTTGAATTTTAAACATTGTGCTTCTGACCAGGTAAATCTAACCACGGAGACAGGGTTTATGGAAATAACATTTTAGTGTTTAAGAGATTGTGCTGGGAAATTGGTCACTTTTGGTTCCAAAGAGAAAAAAACATAGTGTGTAAGTGAGCTTATAAAGGACTTTTAATGCATATTGAGAGAAAAGAGATTTCTGTTGCATAACAAGTTTACATTATTTGAGTCTTGGACCCAAGGTGGGTGACATGCTCCATGTAGGGCACCTGAAACTGTCCAGAAGACTTATATTTCTTGTTTCCTAGTCACAGAGCTCATCAGCAGAAGCTTCCATAATGTTGCAGAAAAAGAGAAGACAGGAAACTTTGCTGTGCAGCAGCTGAACTGTAGCTAGGACTGAGACTAGGCAATCTGTAGCTGAAAGTTGGAGTACATCTACATTTGAATCTGCTTGGACAGTAGTTGACAGAGAAAGAAAGCGTACAAATGCCACTTTGGCTGTAAGAGAGAAGATTAAGTATAATGCACAGTTATGCTTGAGTTTATGAGTAAAAGTTGTGGACATCAGGGAGTTGGATGATAGTTAAGTAGGATGACATTATAAGATTTCTATTACATATATAAATGGAGCATTATTATATTTTCTCTCACAAAATCTTCATTCACAGTTACTTTTCTCAAAAATTTTCAGCAAAAGATTAAAAAAATTAACCATGTATATGTATCCAGAAACTGATAATATGTTTCTGGGCAAAACTAAGTACTTTTTAAAATTCTAAAAAATGTCTGGAAGATTTAAAAATTGACTTTTGCATATATCAGTTGATTGATATATGCAAACAGTAAGAAACAGCAAGAAAATCAGAAGCAGCTTCAGCAATGATGAACCTACGAATTGGTGAAGAATGGCATTTCAGCTTCTTGCACAAATCAGTACACTGTTCTGACTGCATAATTATACAATATATTACATTCTAAAGTGAAAATTTACCAACATTGGTGAGAGAATTACCGAAGTAGTTGGACACCCTTAAAATATGTTTGTGATGATCATTTCAGGGATTTTGCTTCTTTATTAGAAAGCTGTAAGAACTACATTTTTCAGAAAGCTATCAAAAAAGACTATTCCATTAAAAGAAATTTTCTATGTTGAACCTAGGAAGAGAATATGAATACTGTGTTCCGTCAGTAGCAGAGCTGTGCAAAAAATGTGGTGCCAAACTGAGCTCTGCAGAGTTTGCAAAGTTTCAGTTAAACTAAAATATTCCGTGCCACACTTTTAGGAGAAAACCTTTACTGGAAATCTGTGTTAAAGTTAGGTGCAACATTTTTAGTGTGTTTCCTTAACAGATTGGTAATTTTAACGGGAAAACTTGACACAGTTAACTTCAAAGACCTACACTGCTGCTAAGCTGTGACTCTTGGTCTTCTTTTTTTAATGGTTGCTGGAGATTACTGCTTTTAACAAATATGTTCTGAATAAGCCATTTTGGCTTGCTTTGCCAAAGCAGTTAATGACAGAACTATGTCCTCTCTTTGAGAGAACATTATATAATAATACCACTTAACAATTCTTTTCCTAAGTTATATTGCTGTTAAACGCCATGAGATAAAGTGTTCCCAACCCATGCAAATAGGAACACAGAGGCATAGTTTGTTACACACATCTGGAGATCCAAGTTTGAGACTAATGAGACACACCCCAAATAGTAATTTTTCCAGCCCAGGTTTTCTGTCAAATTTCATAATGGGCCAGTAGAGAACAATACTCCTTACAGACACCTAAATGAAGAACATCCATTGGAGATTTGTAAAAAGATGTGAAAGAAGGAAGGTGCCCAATTTTCTATGAATCAGCCAAGAAGAGAAGTGTTAACATTCCCAACAGACCTTATGTATTTTATTTATCCCTCTAATAAAGGCAATGCAAGATGCAGATGAAGAGGTTGAAGGAGGAGATATGGTGATATATCTGTAATGTGCCTGTCTGGGATTGAAAGGAATATGTGAGGGCTTTACAAAAGTCCTTATCAATCTCTGGGAAGTATTAGATACATGAGTATTACTCCAAAAAAAAAGTGTGAGGTTTCTCCTCTTTTTGGGTTTTTTATGTTAGTTTTCATTAAAACTTAATTAAAATTACTGTTGGAGATTTTTTAAGCTGGGCTGAAGTTAAAATGTGTGCCTCCTCTGTGGGCATATGAGGCTGGGAGAAGAGTTCTAGCACAATCATTAGCACAATAAATATATTCCTACCTCTCCCCAGCTTCTGAGAAGTGGATTTTGAGATTTGGTAATTAAAATCATGCACTGAACTCCCATAAGTGAAAATGGCCATATTCCATACTGTTTCATATCTATATTTATTCATATTAATTTCTTCTTCTCTTTTAGAAATGTTATCCAGCCAACATTTGTGAACTACGTACTTGTCTTGGGATATCTGAACAACCTGAAGTCATTCGGGCAACCTTTGTCCATGCCTGAGGTTATATGGGCAGATCAATTGAAAAGCAGTATGTACAGTGGCTGAGATACATTTTTGGATAAATCAGACTTGTTAAACATATGCAGCACATCTCAGGCACATTTCCATCTGTGAAATCTTGGAAAGTAGTGTGAGAACCCTGATTTTCCACTCTGCAAAGATGCATTGAAATGGAAAGTGAAGTTTCGAATTTAATGTACTTTTAGCTTTCGAGTCAATATTCCAATCATATTCCTTTTTATCTAACAACTGGGAAGAAATATGATAGAAAGATGGAATGAAGCATCATTCGAAGAGGTCTTGGGAGTCAGCTTTTTATTCCTAGTCCAGCTACATATTGGAAAATACTACCTCCCATTCTAAAGCATGATCAGATTCTAGGGCAGAAGGTGTCTGTAATGAATCTTTGTTAATGTTATTGTTCATATTTAAACTTTCTGCACAGCTTTATGGTTCTAATTAAAGGGAAAGGACAAAAGTATACTGAAATGAATAACAATTCTTGTTCAGTGCGATTTTGAGGTATGTCATTTCTTTAAAAGTTATTTTCTTTTAGAGAATGCAATCAAATAGCCAAATTTAGAACATTAAATTCATTTAAACATATCTACAACTCTTTAATTGTAATACATATCTTACTTTTTATTGTTACAAGTAAGTTCCTCTCTTTGTTTTCCATTTTCTTCCTCAGTGGTGGTGCAATGCAGGTCAGAATGTAAGAGTTTTCAGACTCTTGCAAAATATATTTAGAAACTTGTTATACTCTCCAGAAATTTAATTGGTAATTGAGGTTGGTTTTTTTTTCCCCTTAATAGACTGTGAACTGAAAAGGACACTCTATATTACTTTAATAGTCTATCTGACAAATTATGCTCTTTAATTCTACTTAGGAAACAGTCTTTTACATTAACTAAACACCACCCCCCTCCCCGACCCTTCTTGACATTTAAAGCTTAAGCAACTACAGACTACTTCTAACAAGTTCTTCTTCAGTGTAATTAAAATAAAGTGGTACTGAACAAAATGATCCATTATCAAACAGTGGTTTCCACTAGGATTTATTTGAGACTGTTCATGAACAAATAGAGGAATTCAATTAAAAAAACAACCAAGGTCCTAAGCAAACTCTCAATATTAGCAGAATGCAAAGTAACTTGACAGAGAGTTCACCACATTGTATATTGTTGTATACTCATATATATGCACATGTAGACACAATAGAATGTCTTCTGGTCTCCTGATTTATGATATTCATAGTTCAATTAAGAGTATCTCTTAATTTAGTTAGTTCACTCAGACTTACTGTTGTGAGCGTCCTCAACAGCATTATCCTGGAATTTTCATTTCTCTAGGATGTAGGTAAGTCATGTACTTTGTTTGGCTCTCATATATGCTCATTTAAATAACTAACAGGAAGTTTGCTTCTCATCTTCTAAAATACTTTGGGACATAATTATGATTAGATTGTTCAGGTACGCTTGCAGTCATCTCTATATCCCAGGGATATCATGCATGGCAAAATTCAAATTTCTATGCTAAACTTATTTTAGACATTTGTTGAACTTTGTTGTTTGCTTTGTTCAAATCCAGGGAGCATACATGTCATATATTTAAACTAGATTGGTAATATTAATGAAAAAAAAATAATGCTTGTATGCTTGCATAACATATCAAAACTATTCAGTTGAGCATTGGTAGTATACTTGCAGAGGCAGCATATCAGTCTCTTTCCATGTCACTCCTTGTTATTTTTAATGCTAGAGACAGCTCTTTCTTTGGATTAAGTATTTATTTTGATATTATATTTTTCATGAGAATTTTCATTAGATGGCCAAAACCCCTGCATTTCTGGAAATTAACTGGAAGATTTATTGATATATTTTTACAAGCAGAGAATAATTCATTTATGGAAAATATACTTTAATGGGATTTTAATCATAGTCTGACTTATAATGCCCTGAACAGCCGTACCTTCAACAGATGAGAACCCTTGCATATGGGGTTTCTCTTAAGTGGTTTAAACATGTAGCAACTGATAAATCTTTTTGGATTTGATGTGCATTACATACAAAAGACTAAGTGAATCTGATGCAATGTTCTGGACCACAAGATTAGAAGTATTTCTGAGAGACTAGAAAAAAATGGGATATGAAAATTAATTTCAGATATTGCTACTCTCTAACACTATAAAAAGATACTGCATGTAAAAGAAAATAAATTATAAATGTAATAATTTCTTTTTTTTTTTTTTTTTTTCTGCTATGGTAGTACACTCTTTAAAAATCATGAAGTCCTGGAATAGCATTAGAGAAATATCCAGGTTGGTTCCTAATGAGGCACACACAATTTTTCATCTTTGGGACTTATCCAGGATAGGCTTAAATATGTGCTTAACTTTCAGCACTGCTTAAATCTCATCAAGTTCGATAGAATTTGATTATATATGCAAACATCCCCAAAGAATAAGATCATTTTCTGTAAGTCAGATTTTTTAAAAAGTTGATTATAGAAAAAAACTTCGGCTGTACATTTCAGCTACAGTACTGTGTCTGCTTAGTAAATGAACTGTTGTAATTTTAGCTGACTGGCTTTAGTATTAGAGAACTCAGTGAGTGTTAATCTAGCATAGTTAGTCTCTTTTATTCTTAGTGAATTCGTTGGGTTCTGTGAAGTATTACTAGGGGTGAATCTGGTCCACTGTTGGTAATGTGCTTGTTCTGACTGCATGCGACAGCACAATTTAGTAAAAGTATATTAAATATACCATTTAGACACCACACATAGCATTTTTGAGATCCAAAGGAAGCACATCTGTTAAATTGCTCTCTGAAATTAATGGTTTGGTTTGATAGTTGTCTACATGATTAAAAATAAGCAGGAAGTTTTTGAATCAGAAATTTCAGAGGAAAACTGTGAGAGATGATAAGCACACTTACTGTACTATCTAGATGGACCATTGGTTTGATCTAGCATGAGTTCCTACGTTCTTGCAAACAGCTTTTCAGTGCACAACTGTGAAAAGAATTTGGTCGCGAGCATAGGTTAGAACAAGTTAATTCTATTTTAAATTCTCATGCTGAGAGAATATTAAAATATAGAATGATTAATTTTAGGAGAATGCACACTTTTTAATGCATAAGTCCAATGTATTGAAGAAATCACAAATGAATTCAACATCCTACTTCTCTGGGATTGTGAGAATTCAGCTGCTCCCAGTTTCAGACCAGTATCTACTGATGATTTAGAAAACAAATGCAGAGTCTGTGTCTGTTTTGAATTTGAACTTATTTTACTAACTGAATTTCCCTGTCAAAGTGCCTGAATGTTGTGTTTTCAACAGTGGTCATTCTTTGTGATCCAAGGGGCAACTACTGAACTATTCAAGCATGCAATTTATGAACACTGACGCTTTATTAAAAATGCATGAAATGTTCAATTTTCAATATTGGTAATATAGTGAATGATAGTGAATGATGAAAACTAACCTTAAACTGGAGGAAAGTACATGATGAATGATCTTTGAAGATTTGTTAGTGTTACTTCCTTGCATGCAAGTTTGTTTTAGACATATTGCAGATTTTGTGCAACTGAAGAAAACTGACTTAAACATAAACTGAAAGTAGATCTGGCTCTACACCAACGTTAATATTATTGCAAGCCAAAATGTACTATTGTCTCTAAGCTAAAGAACTGGTTGATAATTTCGTTTTGTTTGACAGCTGAATGAGGTCTGCCAACTGTATCTCTCTATCACTTGTTTCTTATGCATAGACTTATCTTCTTTGAAAGTTAAGACAAGGAAACATTATATTTTCCCAAGTTAGTATTAATTTCTGACAAAATATGAATTTGAGACAGGTAGTAGCATAGTGCTGGAAAGCAACCACGGTGAGATTTTTCCATCAGGTTAGTTTGTAACAAAATACGGGTCTCAGACTTGCTGCAGTGAAGAGCTCCGATCTCTGTCATTATGTCCACAAGTTACTATAGAAGGTAAGTCAGCTATTGAATCTTTCTTTATTCTTTCCCCCCTTCTTTTTATGGTGAATTCCAGCTATGTTCTTGAATGGCTGCAACCACCTGTTCTCCCATGCCTGTTTCAGTTTATAAACCATATATTGCAGTCACACACTGTAGACATGACGTGGTTTCTTGTAAATATTCTGTAGACTTCCTAATCTCTTCACTTCAAAATAATTTGAAAGCATTGATTTACTGAAAATTTGAATGCTCTCTTAATATTATATATGCTTTTTAGGCAAAGAGTTATAACGATTGCTGAATGATAAAAAATGCTTGTGGAACTAATAACATTTTGTTATTTGAAAATTAATCTTACTTGATCAATGCTAATGCAATAAAAGATATAATAACTATGTAACAAAGGTATGCTTAAGCACATTATAAATAATAATTTGCAGAATGATACACAGCCAAAAAAGTTTTGCTATCAAATATTCAGAAAGAAAATTTCCTAATATTACTTTATATGAAAGAGATGTTTGGATAGTTGGCTAAATCCTCATCTGGTGTATGCTATAATACTTTGTTTTGAAGTTATACCTATGTTTACATTAATTATATAAATGCATCATAAATGTTCAATTTCCTAGTATGAACATCTGGAAATTCATAAACATTCAGAAGGGTGGTAGCTTCACATATTTAGGCATAATGTGCCTTTCATTCTGTTGGTAATGGAGTAAAACCTCACACTGACAACATTTTATAACTTAAACTTGTCCCTGATCAGTAGAACTTCCACACTTTTTGGAAGATTGATGAATACTGATGGTAGATAGCCAAAATATTCATAGTATCATAGAATCAGTAAGGTTGGAAAAGGTCACTAAGATCATCTAGTTCAACTGTCGACTCATCACCACCGTGTTCATTAAACCATGTCCTCAATGTCATGTCTACACATTTCTTGAAAATATCCAGGAATGATGACTCAACCATTTCCCAGGTCAGCCTGTTCCAAGGAAATACCAGTCTTTCTGAATGGAAATGTTACGTAGTATCCAAACTGAACCTCTGTTAGTGCAATTTAAGCACTTTGACCCTTACCTCTCATCCTATTGTTACCTGAGAGAAGAGAATGACATCCAACCTGCCACAGCCTTCTTTCAGGGAGTTTCAGAGAGTGTTAAGGCTTCCCCTGAGCCTTATCTTTTCCAAACTAAATAACCCCAGTTCTGTCTCTCACTCCTCATAGGACTTGTGCTTCAGACCCTTCAACTGCTTCACTGACCTTCTCTGGGTGCACTCCAGGTCCTCAATGACTTTCTTGGGGTGAGAGGCATCCTTAAGATGAAGCCTCATCTGTACCGAGTAAAGAGATGACCAGTTCCCTAGTCCTGCTGACTACACTATTTCTGATTCTAGCCAGGATGCTTAGCCAGGCCTTATTGGTGACCTGGGCACATTTCTGGCTCATGTTCAGCCAGTTAACATCCACAGATCTTCTTACTCCACATAGCTTTCCATTCATTCTGTCCCAAGCTTGTAGTGCTGCATGG